CCATCAGGCTGCACACATGAACCTGCAGAAAAGAAGGAGTACCTTAAAGTGTGTAAATATAAAGACTTCTTTCTTCTCATGACCTTCTTAAAAGACAAGGGCTGACTAAGGGCTGGGGATTTAACTTAGTGGTTCTGCTGCCTGCCTTGCAAGCACAAAGGCCAGAGTTCGATCCCTGGTACCAAAAAAAAAAAAAAACAAAGATAACTGACTAAAGCAAAAATGACAACTATATAGTTAGGGTTTATAACATGTAGAAGTAGAAGTAAAAAATATGACAACACATTAAAATAAGGGGACAGGTAAGTGGAACTGTACTGTGGTATGCTTATTACATCTGTGAAGTGCAGATGTGAAGAGGCACATGGTAACTTTAAACACAGTTAAGAATGATGTTAAGGGTACATGCAATTAGTCCTAAAGAAACTATCATAAAGAAAAGAATCATGGAAAGAACAGCAACACACTAGATATGAACCAAACCATATAAAAATTATATTAAACCATAAGATGTTAACAGCACTAATAATCAGACACACAGACATCATGTCCTATAACATGATCACAGAGAGGAATACATTACTCTGTGGTATTCTTGCCAGAAAAACATAACTTTGCCTTAATCAGGAGAAAACATCAGACAAGCACAAACAGAGGAGACAGACGATAGAAATGTGCTCATCAAAAGTTAGGGTAACAGCTACAGTTTACATCTTAAATGTCCCCTGTAAATGTCACATACTAAAGACTTGGACACCAAGTCTTGGGCTGTAACACTACTGGGTAGTGGTAGAACCTTCAGGAGGTGGGGCCTAGTGGGAGGAAGTTAGGTCACAGGGATGTGCCCTTGGAGAGGAGAATGGGACCCTGGTCCCCCCACCTTTGCTTCCTGGTTGCTATGCTATTTTCCCATGATATAAGTCAGTCACCTCAGGCCCAGAGCAATGGAGCCAACCAACCATGGACTGAAATCTCTAAAACCATGACCAAAACAAACCCTTCCCTTCATTTAAGTTTACTTTCTCAGGTATTTTGACATAGTAACAGAAATCTAATGCAGCAGTAAAAACAACAAGAGACGATGAGAAAGTGTGACACATTGCAGGACATTACAAAGACATACCAACTAAATTTAACGTAAGATTTGGGATGGGATTTGAGGGGCCAGAAAAAGACATTTAAGAGGAAAGTTGGTAAAATGGGACTAAGACTTATGAATTAACAATGCTGTCCCAATGTTAATTTCCCACTGAAGTGTTCTACAGTTAAGTAAAATGTTAACATTAGGGGAAACTAAGTAAAGGGCATACAAGAATTCTCTACTATTACTGCATCATTTCTGCAAGTCATTAGTTCTGCAACTAATTTAAAAATAAAATATTAAAAGTTGTGCTAAATGTCAACAGACTAAACATTACAATTAAAGAACAGAGACTGACTTATTAATCAAAATCTAGGATCATCCAAATGTCTATTGGGCCGGGGATTTAGCTCAGCGGTTCTGTGGTCTGTCTTATAAGCTCAAGGACCCAAGTTCGATTCCCAGTGCCAAAAAAAAAAAAAAGAATTCCAAATGTCTATCAAAAGTGAATCAACAAATTGTGGCAATCAATCCCTGTCAACAACACAGATAAATCTCACAGACATTTTGTCAGGCAAAAGAAGCCAAACATTAAAAACAAACAAACAAAAAACAAAAACCACCATAATTCAGGGAAAATTCTATAGATGTGAAATTCTAGAACAGTAAAACTAATCTAGAATTACACAAATCAGATCAGTAGTGTCTGAGTTGGTGGAGTGGTGGTATGTGGCCATGGTTAAGGGAGGCAAGGAAACTTCTGGAATAGCAGAAATATCTTGTTGGAGGTGGAAGTTGCATGAATGTACATATTTGTCCCTCATTTTTTGACCTGTAAATATGTGAATTTTATTACATGTAAATCACAGTTCAATAAAGATTAAAAAAGAAACAGTTGGCTGGAGGTGTAGTTTAATGGTACAGCACTTGCCTAGCATGCATGCAGACCTGGATTTTATATTCAGCACTGCAAAAACAGCAAAAAGTAGCATAATCCCCACTCAGCTGTGGCAGTACAAGGTGTGGGTAAGGGCAGAGAGCAAGAAGCTTATGAACGTCACACAGTAAGACTCTCTCTAACCCTCACTGTGGAAGCTAACTCTTTCTCTTTTCTTAGAGGCCTGTGCTGGGCACTGAACCAGAGATAAACAGGATACCATCTCCCACACCAGAAGCCCTCCACAACCATGGGATGCCTCTTTGGAATTTACCTCCATCCATGGAATGGTTAACAGGACACTTCCAGAATCTCACTAGAAAGGAAATGTTTAGAAGCTGTCTGGTAAGATCCTGAACACTATTATTACTTTGGTTACAGTATAAAAAGTTGTAAGTATAGAAAATGCAATGTTATTCAGGTTACTGTTGAATTGACATGTCTGTGTAGCTTATTAACGCCACGCTGAAGTATGAAAATAACACCAATTCTATGCCTTCATCCCAGACATAACCAAGCTGGTGATTATGTCAACAAAACTAGTTCCTGGCAATTGCACGATAGCATTTTTGGTGGTTGTTTAGAAGCATAATTAGAGTGAAAACCTCCTGTGTGCTTTCTACGTGCAAGCATCTGTGCTCATTTAATATAAGTGCTTTCATGAGGATTCACTTTCTTTAACCCTTACAACAACCCCTGAGGGATTCTAACAGATGAAGAAACAGGGTCAAGAGAGCTTGGATGACCAGTGGTCTTCCAGCCAGTGAGCTTCTAGAGCAAGGACTGACCAAGTAACTGAAACATTGAAAAGACTGAGTTTCTTCCTTCTTCCTCCTTCGCCCTTCCTCCCTCCTCCTCCTCTATTCCTTCTTGTCTTCTTCCTCGCCTCCTTTTTGTTTTGGTTTTTTTGGATTTTGGGGTTTTTTTGTGGGGGGCGGTGAGACAGGGTCTCCCTATGTGGTTGAGACTGACCTGGAACTCACTATGTAGCCCAGGCTGGTCTCAAACTCACAGCAATCCTCCTGCCTCAGCCTCTCCAGCGCCACCACGCCTGGCTCTTGCCTCCTTTTTCTCCTCATCTTCCTTTCTCTCTTCTCCTCTTCCTCCTCTCCCCTTCCCCTTTTTTGTAGTACTGTGTGACCTTGTACATTCTAGGTATGCACTCTACCACTGAGCTACATCCCTAGCACAGGACTGGATTTCTTAAGCACTTGTAAGAGACTACACTTTTTCTTCCATGATAAAGATACAATATATGTGTTAATATTAATGATATTTCACCCAACCTATTTTCTGATGTCAAGGCAGTTAAATAAAGTATTAAATGGAAGTGAGGAGAAAACTTGCACTCTGTCTATGGAATGTAATTTCTTTTTGATCCTCTGGGATACTATTTCACCTCATCAGACAAGCTTCTATAAAGTTTTCAAAGGCTCTCTCCTAGAAATTAAAAAGAAGACAAGTGCCAGGTATGAATCACCTCTGAGTCAACTCGGGCTATGTTTTGTTAGTGGATTTAAAGAAATCTCTGTGTTGCATTTCCATTTTGCACAACTTACAGGTAGGACTAGCACCTCACAGTGGATATAAATCATTTTCAAATACACTAGCTCAATAAACCTAACAACCCTAAGAGATAGGTACAAGGGTGGGGGGATACATAGTGAATCCATTTATAAAGCAAGAAAGGAAGACTTGTACTGGTTCACTCATTTGCCCAAGATCTTTATTAAGGCAAAGGCAGAAATCCCAGACTTATGATTCTTAGGTGACTTCAGGGAAGCTAAGATCCTCAAGCATCGGGATCCTGGGTCTTTGGGACATCTGGTCTTTGCCCAGAATTTCCTATCTCAGTCAACAGATATTCAACATGAAGGCAACACTTTAAATATTGTGTATGGCAAAATTAAAAGCACATTTCCATGGGAATACCAAGGAAGATACCAGGAAAGAACATCAGGTCACTTTTTGCAAACAGTGATCAAGAACATTACCTTACTTCACCAAATATAAGATGCTGCTGATTCTAAAGTGCACCTTTATTTTGTACTACTAAGAAGAAAAGTTCTATGACACTACGTTGACTTTAAGATGCATCCTGACCTCTAAAATGTTAAATGTGTCTTAGAATGGATAAAATAGGGCAATTCAAGATTAGCTTTCAGAAATTGGGGATTATAATCTGCTTAGAGGTCTCCAGTTCATCCATTGGCCAATATTATTGAACAGCAACAATGCTGAATGCTGGGACTGCTTGCAGAGGAGGAGCAGACAGGCATCATCTAAGAGCCCACCCCTCTGACTGGGAGATCTCTCCAGGAAAATTGCAAGAGGCTGGAGTTGCTGAGCTCATCAAAGTTCTTTGGCAAAAGTCGCTGTCACATAAAAAGTAAATTTTCAGGTCTCATTTGCCTCTTTCAACTGTCAAAAGAAACCAAATTTTAACACACTCAGTTCTTTTTTACCGAACTCTGAGTCTGTATTTGAGCTCCTTTGGTGACAATTTCTCCATGCTCACTTTTTTCCATGAAGAGGTGAAGAAGGTAGCTAAAGCTGACTGAGTACGTACTATGTTAGGATCACCCTAGATCACGTAAATTAACACATCTAATTCTCAAAGTAACCTACATACAAGTAGGGCATTAGTATCTCTGTTTAAGGGATAAAGAAACCAGAACCAAAATAAGGTCAATCTGGTTGTGAAAGGCTGATTCAGTGCTCACACCCAAGTTCAGCTGGCCCCAAAGAGTCAACCCACTCTACCACAAAAAAAGCAAGATGGAAGGCAAGGAGTGCAGTTTTGTTTTGTTTTGTTTTGTAGTGCTGGGGGGGGGGAGCCCAAGCAAGTGCTCTACCACTGAGCCACACCCCTAGCCCAGCACAGACTAAAAATTTTAAAAATCACCACTAAACTGAGTGCATAAGGTCAACAGTCTAGCCAAATTACTACACAGTAATAACAAAACCATTACAGATACCTACTCAGATAGTCGGTTGGGGGTCTGTTTAACCGTCACGATTCCAGTTCATATAGTGAAAAGGCAGCAATATGACTCATCTAGGAACAGGAGTGGAAATGCTCGTGTGGGGTGACCAAGGATCACAGCTGGTGAGACATCTGCTGTCATCACACATTCCTCCACAATGCCCACTCTCAGGCACAGAGACAAGGTACACAGCAAACAATCCCAAAGCACTGAAGGGAAAGAGACACAAGGCATTAGAGACAGTGTTCTCTAATGAGAACAGTGGTCCTCACCCAGGGGAGATTCTATATTGTTCCCCTCCCCAGGAGACACTTTAACAGAATGTGGAGACATCTTCAGTGTCACCACTGGGAATGGGGTGCTACAGGTACCTAGGTGGTAGATGCCAGGAATGTTAGTACCCTGCAATGCACAGGACAGTGCTCCTCAATAATTACTGGGCCCAAAGTATATCTATAGCATCCAGCTTGAGAAGCTTGGCTTTAACACCGTCAGGGAAACAGAAGTGACCAAGATGTTACACTCCTCCTGTAGCTGGAGAACAAAAAGGCAAAGTCACAGGGACTGGCTCTGTACAGATACTACTTACCAAAAACAGACCACACACTTGCCCAGTCATTTAATCTATAACTCTACACCTGATGTATGCCAGGCCCCATGACAGCACGGAAGCTAAGAAGACTAATCACAGTCCTTGTCCTTAAAGAGTTACCCTTCCAGTAGAGCACAGAGGCACAGGCCTGGAGGTGAAGCTTAGTGCAAGGCATTTGCCTAGAGTGTCTGACTGAAGCCCTAGGTTCCATCCCCAGCAATGCAAAAAACAAAGAACATACACGTGTATCTATAAATACATGTGCACAGATAAGTGTAGAAAAGACTGAAAAAAATGTGCAGCAAATACCATCAATGATTATTTCTAGGAATTATCACTTTCATATTTTCAATGAAAATATGAAGGAAGTGGAAAAAACTCAATGTTTTTCAGTGAATGTTTTATTTTCATCAGTTATAACAAAACAGTGCTACATCCCAGGGCCACAATCTCACCAGGGGCTCCACCTCTGTGGCTGGGAAGGGAAGGAGAGGAGAGGGCCAGGAACAACAGACCTGCTTCTACTGCTCAGTCTCTTCCACTCCACAGATGAGAGTCCTGCCTTTCATTCATTCAATTCCTTCAGCAAATATTTACTGAACACATACTACATATACAGATAGATAGACAGACAGACAGATAGACAGATAGACATAATTCAACCAAGAAGGAGGGCAGCTCAGTGCTTTCTCTCACAGATCACCTTCTGGACTTGGATGGCTTCCTCTGGCTTCCTGTCCTGTTTGTATTCCTACTCTACATGGCATCCCAAAAGCACCTTCACAAGGTTCTCTGCAGGATCACAAGACGGAAAAAAAAAAGAGCTAACCAGAGCTCCTGAAGTTCAGGAGCTATATCTTATCTATAAAATCTCTATAAGATACAGCTGTACAGTGAGAAGGATAGGGAAAGGGGAATAAGGGAAAAGGAAAAAAATATGAGAAAATGTAAAAAGAAAAAAAAAAGAGCTAACCAGAGCTCCTGAAGTTCAGGAGCTATATCTTATCTATAAGATCTCTATAAGATACAGCTGTACAGTGAGAAGGATAAGGGGAATAAGGGAAAAGGAAAAAAATATGAGAAAATGTAAAAATGGAATTAAAGTGTTTGAAGGTGGGGAGGGGAGGAGGGAGTGAAGGGAGGGTGGGGACAAGAGGAAAAAATGAGAACCAAGACCTGGCATGTAAAGGTACAAGATCCCAGTAATGAAAGTAACTGTACTGTCTACCTAGAATGTACCAATAAATTCAATTTAAAAAAAGATACAGCTGTATACGTATCTCCAGCACCTAGGACATACCTGAATTAATATTTATTATATAAATAGTTCAATTATCAACAAAAAACCATGAGAGATAACCTGCTTATTAAGCAAAGGGGCTCATCTCTAGGAAGGAACACGATATAGAGTCACAAAGTTCACTGCCCTAGGGTCAAATCAGTAACAGATATTTACTGAGTGCCTTGGACACTGTTCAGACTCTGCTCCAGCCCTGACGCAGTAGTGGGGGACAAGTCAAACATGGGGGAGAAGTGAACATTTAATAAGTATGCTAATTAATACACCAGACAGCTACAGGTGGTGGTAAGAGCTCTCAGGAAACAGACAGGAGCAGAGTGCCTGGGGCGGGTGGCTACTCCCAGAACAGAGCTTCTAGGGAAGCTGAGCCCTGGAGGCAAGAGTGAAGCAGCCCAGCAAAAATGGGCAGACGTGGTCCTGCAGAGGGAGCAAGGGGACACAGGCCATGAAAAGGGTCCGGGTGGTCACACAAAATCAAGGAGGCCAGGTCAAACCAGGTGTGACAAAGTGGGCAGGGTCAGCTGGCCAGCCAGGAAGTGGGCAGGGCTGAGCAGGTTAACATCTGTTTGTAATGTCTCAGTATCTAATAGCTCTGTAAAGGCTGCCATTCTGATAGAAAAGCAGGAAGTTTAGGACCAGGGCTGGGGGGGTAGCCCTCGGACCCTGATCCGTAAAGGACTTAATCCAGCCCGCTAGACATGGCACTCAGCTCTGTGCTGGAAAAGGACCTGTACTGGGGGAACCAGCAGATCCTGTTTGTCAGCTGGAGGTCTTCCCTAACCAGCTACATGGTCACTAAAGGATGGTCTCCCACCAGCATGCAGCATGACGTTCCGGAATTTGGCAGGGCTGACTCCGTGAGGTTTAAATACATGAATTAAAATGTCTTCAGATGAAGACGCACTCACATGCTGGCCGCAGGGAATCCTCCTTCTTTGCTTGTCATTCATTCCCTTCCCTTCCTCCTTCCCTCCCCTCCCCTCCCTTCCCTTCTCTTCTTTTTCTGGTGATACTGGAGATAGAACCCAGGCTCTGTTCATGCCAGCAAGTGCTCCACATTCAGCGATATACTCCAGCCCCAGCAGCCTCCTTCTTTGAAGCACAGCAAGGCAGGGCAGGCTGCTATACAGCTTTAGCTGCCAGCCCTTAGACCCTCATCGATATGGCTATGCGAGAGCTCCACAAAGCTCTGGGTGTGGCCAAAAGGCTTTACAGTACATATACAACATACCTCTCAACAACCACACAGGTAGGTTTCAAGTTACTGTTTTCAGTTTATAAGCAAGGAAATGAGGCACAGAGATATTAGGAGCCCTAACCTGCAAAGTTACACACAACTAGACAGACTGACTTGGCCTTTTCTCAGCCTCTGCAGTCTTGGCTTGTCCTTGCTGTTTGTTGAGAGCGTACATCCACAGTACAATTCACAGTGCCCCCTCATTCCCCATGCTTCAGCTCCTTGCCTTCTAAAAGGTTTAATTAATCCCCAACTTGAAACTGTACTACAAAGCCACTGTGATAAAAACAGCATGATACTGGCAAAGAAAAAGACCCGAGGATCAGTGGAATAGATTGGAAGACACAGAAACAACTCCAGATATACTCAGCTACCTCATCTTTGACAAAGAAGCCAACAATCCTCAGTGGAGAAAAGATAGCCTCTTTTCTTTGTTTTTGTTTTTGTTTTTTTGGTACCCAGGATTGAACTGAGGCCCTTGTGATTGAGAGGCAGGCAGCAGAACCACTGAGCCAAATCTCCGGCCCAACATAGCCTCTTTAATAAATGGTGTTGCCCACCAAAGATTAAAACTAGACCCTTATCTTTCACCATGCACTAAACTAAAATTCAAGTGGATTAAAGATCTAAATATTAAAATAGAAACTCTAAACTTGCTAGAAGATAAGTTAGGCAGAACTCTCAAAGACACTGGTATAGAAAAAGACTTTATGAACAAATCCTCAGTAGCACAGGAGCTAGCACAAAGAATCAACATCTGGGATCTCATGATATTTAAAAGATTCTGCACTGCAAAAGAAACCACCAACAGAACTAAGAGACAACCTACAAGGTGGGAAAAAAATTTTACCAGCTGCTCCTCAGACAAAGGACTATTATCTAGAATATATAAAGAACTCAAAAAATCAGGCCCCCCCAAATACAAAGACCTAATTAAGAATGGTCATGTGAAATGAACAGACATTTCTCAGACAAAGAAGTAAAAGCAGCAAATAAATATATGAAGAAATGTTCAACATCACTGGTCATTTGAGAGATGCAGATAAAAACAACACTGAAATTCGCCCTCATGCCAGAAAGAATGGCTGCTATCCAGAAATCAACCAATAACAAATGTTGGCGGGGTAGCGGGGAGAAAGGAACCCTTCTCCATTATTCGTGGGAGTGCAGACTATGATTTCCACTGTGGAAAACAATATGGAGATACCTCAAAGAACTAGGATTAGAGGTCCCACTTGACCCAGTTATCCCTCTGTTGGGTGTCTTCCCAAAAGAATTAAAAGAATCATTCACTGTGATATATGTGCACCCATGTTTATAGCAGCACAGTTTGTAACAGCTAAAACTTAGAAACAGACCAGTTACCCATCAATTGCAGGCTGGATAAAGATGTGGTTTTTCTATAAAATGGAATACTACTCAGCCATAAAGAATGAGAAACTAGAGTCATTAAAATACTGAATTTTCTCTGGTGTGAAAAACTAAAATGTAAATAAGATCCAAATTGTATAACTGATAATGTGAAATAGGAAGAAAGGGGCTAAAGGTACAGGGAAGTGGGAAGGGTAGGGGAAAGGAAATAAGGAACAAGAAAAAATATGAGAAAAGGCAAAAATGGAAACAAAGTCTTTTAAATAGGGGAGGATAGAGGGGTGAAGGGAGGGCAAGGGTATGGGGAAAAAATGAGAACCGAGATCTGTCATGTAAAAGTACAAGATCCCAATGATGAATGTAAAGGGGCTAAAGGTACAGGGAAGTGGGAAGGGTAGGGGAAAGGAAATAAGGAACAAGAAAAAATATGAGAAAAGGCAAAAATGGAAACAAAGTCTTTTAAATAGGGGAGGATAGAGGGGTGAAGGGAGGGCAAGGGTATGGGGAAAAAATGAGAACCGAGATCTGTCATGTAAAAGTACAAGATCCCAATGATGAATGTAACGGTACTGTATACTTAAAAAGTACCAATAAACTCAATAAGATAAAAAGGTATAATTAGCTTGATTACAGATCTCAAACTCCAAGTATGATTTCTATGAAGTATTTAATAATTCATTACTCAAATTTTCCCAGAAGAAACTTCTCAACAGATATGAGGGAAGTATATAATCTTCCAGGTTATAACATGGACTCAACTATTCTTCAACCTCTCCCAGCAACGAAAGCTCGGGGGCGGGGGGCAGTGGTATAAGAGAAACTGTTATGAGAGAAACTTTTGCCCATGTCATCCACCAGCTCAGGCCCAAGAAATGCTTCAAATGCAAATGTGACACAGCTGAAACCCTGAAGCACAGGGCTGCTGTGTGGCTTCTGATCTTTCATGCTGGCTTTTCCCTCTCCAAGCCAAGAAGGCAGAGTGAGCCTCACCAGCAAACAAGATTGCCATTAGCTCCTGTCAGAAAACCTTTATTACTCTGCTATATTTTTATGTCACATGTTCCTATGTTGGGGCAAATCTAACACAGGAACATCTGCGGATAACTTGGAAATGACCCTTGAGGACTATAGTTTATAAACCAAGAACTTTCTAAGCCATGGCTCTTTCTAACCCAAGCCCAGTTGGTTTCCCAGACCTTACTAGATCGATTCCTGACCTTTATAAACTACTCAGACAAGAATCACTATTTAAGAGTTTGCATGCCTGGGTTTCAAGGAAGCTATAGAAGAGAGAAGACTGGAAAGTGTTTAGGATGGTCTCTGGGGCTGCGGATTTAGCTCAGTGGTTCCACCACCTGCCTCAAAAACTCAAGGTCCCAAGTTTGATCCCTGGTACAAAACAAGAAGAAGAGGAAGAAGAGGAAGAAGAAGAGGAAGAGGAAGAGGAAGAAGAGGAAGAAAGAGGAAGAAGAAGAGGAAGAGGAAGAGGAAGAGGAAGAAGAATGGGACTCTGGGTACGTGCCTGCAGGAAGAAGGCACCAGCCCCCAGGTCACCTGGAGCTGGAGAGAGGGCCTTGTCATAACCCTCAGAATGCTAGCTGACAGCAGAGGCCCTGACAGGCAGGAACCCAAAGCCAGGAGCCCAACCAGAGTCTCCAGAGTGAGCACAAACCCTGCCTGGAAGCCCTTGCTTCGTGCAACAATAACTGTGAAGACAACAGTCTCTGGGCCCTGCCATCCAGTGGGAGTTCACCTCTGCCTTCAGAGAGCCTGGACCAGAGCAAAAGAATTTCCAAAACGTGTAAGAGCTAAAGGTATGCCAAGAGTCAGGATGTGAGAACTAGAAGGGGCCCTCTCAGACAGTCCAACCCACCCTCACTTTATAGAAAAGACCTCCCAGGAGATCCCAGAGGAGGTAATATGTGTGCCCCTCCTCCACAATAAAATTTTAGAAAGAGAACTCAAGAAAAGATAGTGATGCAAAGATTGGGACATGTGCTAGTTGGGTCCCTCAGGACTCTGAAAGTTTAGGGTACAGAAAGGAATTCTCAGAAGACACCTCCGTCCCTTTAAAGACTGCACTGCTGCCAGTACCATACCGACTCAGAGGGGACTCTGGTGCCAGCAGGGGCTGGGTATCGACTACAGTTGCCACAGCCCTCAGGACCTCCAGTGGCAGCCTGAGCAGAGCTTTCCTGAAACCTCCATGCTCAGTATCAGGAAGGGTCAGGGAAGCAGTTGGGAAGAAAGCCACATGGGTGGAGAAGCAGGGAGGAGAGAGACCAACTTTAGAACGTCTGGAAGATTCATGTAGCACAAAAAGACCAAACTGCAACCACAGAGGCGAAGAAGTCAGGAAATGCTGCCACAGCAGACGGCCTGGTGGCCAGCCAGCCAGCCAGTGGGCCCAAGGGGACTAAGGTTTAAATTTAGCCAGGTAAACAGAGACGCCCAAGGGTGGGGAGGGCATGGAAGGAGCAGAGCAATCACCTGCCCTGCAGTGTCCAGGCGTTTCTAGCTGAAGGGAAAAGTCCAGCTGGAACTGAGCTAAACAGCAGATCCATTTTGGGGGCTCTGCAAACATGTTGCTGAGGGATCACAGGCTATACCTCTGAGATGGACAAAGGGTTATTTTACTTTAACAGGTGGCTCGGTTTCAAACAGACTGGGCCCTTCACAGTATCTCTGTCTATCCTCTGCTGGGTTCTTCTGGGCTCCTGAATACATTGTGAAGATGTCCAGTACAAGTCAGCCAAGGATGCCCTCACAAGAAGCTCCCATTTGCTCTCACTATAGAGGGTCTTTACATCTATTACTGTTCTGAGCCGTGAGGGACCTGAGGGAGTTACAAGAAGAACTACCAAACTACAGCAAAAATTCTGAGCATTGTGTTCAGGTGTGGGGCTAGAACAGAGTGAACTCTGAGAACCTGTTGAGAAGATTAACAAGATAAATGACAGCGGTTTTGAAAAGGAGCCAGGGAGAACCAAATCAGTTTGGTGACACAAAAGTTTTTATGGACTTACTGATTCCTATTTCAGAGAAGACAATCGCTTCATGTAAAATGTCCCTTCATACCCCAGATGCCAGGCCAAAAGCATAACCCTGCCCTGCTGACAGTGGCTGTGATAATCCAGAGGGCAGCAGAACTGTCGTAGAAGTAAAAATCAAAACACACCAGCCTAGCTCTCTGTTCCTCATGAGGAACAGCAACAAAAGAACTTGAAAAAGACTGAGCTGGAAATGTAGCTCAGTGGTAGAATGCCTGCCTACCATGCACCAGTGTGAAGTTCTAGGTTCTGTGTCCAGAGCCACACAGGAGGAAAGACAACTTTTCAGTTGCCACTAGAGTTAAGAGGAAGGTAAAGTACACAGGTGAAGGACAATCCTAGGTTATTTTTCTTTTCTTTTTTCAGTAAATGACCCAGCAATTTGAGGACTGTCCCGTTGCTTTTTATTATTCTAGGTACCAGGGACTGAATGCAGAGCCTCCAGCATGCTAAGCACACATTTTACCTCCGAGCCACACTCCCCTATCCCTTTAACTCATGCTTTTGAGATAGAAAAAAAGAAAAAAAGGGGCTGGGAATTTAACTCAGTGGTTCTGGCGCCTGCCTCACAAGCACAAGGACCTGAGTTCGATCCCCACTACAAAAAAAAAAAAAAAAGAAAGAAAAAAGGATTGCTACAAGCCAATAACAAACCCTGGGACATACTATGACTACCAAATGCACTAAAAAAAGAACTGGTTTCAGATACCCTGGGCAAATTGCACACATACACTCCCTCACTCACACAGTCATACTCAAATACACAGAGTATCAGCGCCTGGGAAAGTAGGATTTCCATGGGTGAAAGCAGCCAGTAAGATCTTCCTAGGTTCCCACTAACACTGACTGTGTCACTCGATTCATCAGGGCCTCCCAGAGTCCCCGAAGTCACGACCCCTTTCATCCTCCAATCAGTGTCCAACATCAGCTCCTACCTGTTGAGGTAGGGACATTCCCAACCCCAGGAGATACTTTTATATCCTGTGAATTTGAGAGAGTGCTCAGAGATACCATGGGTTTAGTGTATTTTTAAATTTCCTAATGTCATATTTACTGCTTCTCTTTAGTACCTGATGACTTTGCAATAAAGAAGCCATCAGCTTTTCTACCTTACAGCTGTCTCTTTTTAAATAAACTGTGCAAGTGGACTTGGCAAAAAAAAAAAAAAGTAAGGACTGGGGATTTAGCTCAGTGGTGCTGCTGCCTGCCTTGCAAGTGCAAAGTCCTGAGTTCGATTCCAGATACCCCCCCACCCAAAAAAAGTAAGATCTTCCAAGCCTGGCTCAGCTCCCCAGGCAGGCAGACCCTCCAGTGTGTCACATGTTCTCTGTTTGACTGTCTTTAAGAAAACAACAAAAAGGGGGAGGGTGTTGTCTCTCAGGGTTAGAGGGTGTTGTCCCTTGCCCTTTGGGATTTACCTATATACTTTAGCTTCAGGTCTCTTACTCCTTCCCCCTGCCCGGGTGTCAGCCCACCTGTACCGGTAAGTACAGAACCCTGGCTTTAGCTATGTCTTGTTCACAGAGACCCCAGTGCTGCATCACTCATGGCAGCCCAAGGGAGGTCTTCAGCAGCACTTGCCTTTGCGCTTCCTCCTCCTTGCTATTTATAACTACGAATTAGCTGTGTTAAAGAGAGACCAGACACTATTTTGAAATGAAGGAAAACCACTACTCAGCCCTGCACCTCTAATAAGTCGGTGTGTTTGCCAGGACCTGTGTGTGAGTCTGGACAGACATGTGGGTACAGGCTCTGACCCGGCACCCACCCAGCTAAACCTAAGATGTGAGTCTTGCCTTTGCTAAGTAATGCTGCATGGGAATGAGACTGCAAGAGAGCAAGGGTACAGGAATCCGTCCTCAGGCTCTCAGAGGGTGTGCCCACTCCTCCGCCATGGAGGGGGCACCCTAGGCTCCCTCGAAGGCCTGTATGAGTGCTCGTATTGGGCCAAGAGTATGGCGACCCTACCCTGCTGTCTGGCTCCTACACTGCGGGCACCAGCATCGAAGTCCCATCACACCTCCGCCAACGGGATGGGTAACACGATCCTGGTCTTTCTCCTCCAGATACCAGGCTGAAACTCTGCCCAAGGTGGCAATCACCAGAAGCTGTTGCCAAGGTGGTCAGGTGGGAAAAGTAGTGAAGGACCAAGCCTGGTAAAGTGAGGGGCAAGGACTGCCCCCTCTGCACTCAACTCTGCTGAGTAACAAACCCAGGGACCGAGCCACCTCAGTTTCCCTCCCTGCAAAACAGAATATTTTCCAGGCAAAATGAACCGCCTCTCAGTGATTTCAGTGTGTAAATATCCGGGAAAATTGACTCTGACCTGAGTGTACGGCAACAGAGCCACCCAGACTGCCCTGAGGGTGGAGAAAGGGGTGGCTTCCCCCTCCTCCAGGCGCAGGGGGAGATCAGGGAAAGCAAAAACACCACCACCGCTCCGGGAGGGCGAGACCCGCACCGGCCTGGCCTCAGGGAGGAATTCAGGCAACAAACTGACGCTTCCCGCGGGGGCAGAAGCAACCCCGTACAGTCCCCGCCCGCGTCCACTCCGTTCGGCCGGGCGC